AGGTATTAGGCATTCCTCGAGTCCCGTGGTTCTAGCACGGTCACTTTATGGACTTTTATAACTTAAACTAATTTTTGAATAATATATTATTAAGACAAATGTATTTACCCTCATTTTTTGATTTATATTAACATATTTAAAACTGTACTATTTTATAAACATGTGAAGTTTTTATACATTTTTATTAATTATTTATTTATTTTTCATGCTTTCAACATTTGCAAACTTCTTAATTTCTCTCTTTTATTTTATTTTTTATTTGTTTTTTTATTGTATTTTTGCTTCTCTCTTCTTACTTCTTTTTGTACTAATTTTTCACGTTATTTTTTAGTTTAACTTTCCTTATTTTACATTTTGGGTTTTTACATTGATTTTTCTTCTTTTTCTTTTCTTACCTTTTTTTTAAAAAAATAGTTGTGCTTTTTTTAATTGATCATACTAAAATATTTTTTTTAGCACTATACTTTTTGTTTCTTTTCATTTCTGCAGTACTTTTTATTAAATTTATTTTTTCCTATTCATTTTCTCCATTCTTTTAGTCATATTTTTTTAATTTTTTCTATTATTCTTTTTCTGATTCAGATGTTCTTTTATCACTATTTCTTTTCTTCTTCTGTTATTCACGTATTCTACCTCTTTTCCTTATTCCATTTTTATTGTTATTATTTTTTTTCTTTTTTCTTTCAATTTGCTATCCTCTCCTTATCATAATAAGTTTATTATTATTATTTTTAATAGAATATAAAAATAATAATGTAAGACAACACATTTAATATAATATAAAATATAATTTAATACATTTCTAAAGACAACCAAACAAAAAATTCATTCAAATTAATAAGACATGAATATAAAAATTTGGATAACTATGCATATTATCATTAGAATCATAATAACTACACATATTATCATTAAAAACTAAACATGAAAAATAAGAATAGACTTAGACAATAATTTTACATAAGCAAGAAATAAACTATGAGTTATTTAATATGAAATAAACTACGATTTGTTATAGCAATTTCACACAAAATATAACTATATAAAGGATCTAAACATAAAGTTGATATGAAATATTTGAACAAACTTCATATAAAAACATAACGGTTTAACCACATGTGAAATTTGACAACTTCAATATATTGCAATCAATACTTGTATAAACAAGATATTAAATTATTTAAAAAAATTAAATGGTACCTCTTGCGAAAATTCCACCAAAAGAAAACAATTTGAATAAGGAACCGCGAAAGTAAACCTCAACTTCAACTTTTGTTTATGAGTCAAAGCAAAATATGTGAATATATTTACTGATTTTTTGTTTGTGGGTGATTCTCTTCCTTTTTGTGTGTATTTTTCTTTTCACGTTTTTTCTTTCCGATCTTCTTCTTTTTTTCTTTTTTTTGTGATGTTATCTGTATATTATAATAGTGCAGGTGTGCAATGTGTACGTGTGTACATGTGTAGGGGTCGTGGGGAAGTTGGGTAAAGTGGGGGTAATGGAAATTTTTTTTTATATTAAATATATATAAAATGATAAGCACATAATTATTAATTGTTTTGAGTAAATAAATAAAAGCTAAATGGATAATAATAATAATAATAATAATAATAATAATATATATATATATATATATATATATCTTTTATTATTATTATTATTTTTTCTTTTTAACAATCAAAATAAACTTTTCTAATAAAAATTATATTTATGTTGTATACTTTTATATCTTTTAAATAAACTTAATGCAAACAATAAAGAAAGTCAAAATATATTTAATTTAGATTGATAAAATTATTTATGCTCTCAATATTGGTGTTAAACTTAAATTCGGTCAAAAATTACGTGTCTACAGTTTGCCCCTCTTTGACTGGAAATATGAAGGATTTTCAGACAAAGAAATACACAGAGTGACCAGTTTTGACCGAACTCTTATTTGAAAGACCGAAATTTGTGCGACCGAGTCCTTGTTTGAACATCCTACATATCCCGGGTGATAAGGGAATCAGGCCACTTGTAGTTCGAGGAGATAAAGTGATGAGTTGGAAGTTATGTGAGGTTCCATCGAGGCTCCTGATCGTGGCTCTTATCATTACATAAAAATTGAAAACTATTAGTCAAAAGAAAAACAAATGTACAAACGTCTATCCACGCAGCTTTTCTTGAATCTTCACTTGAATTTTGACTTAAGGATATCACCTTGATTTTTGAGTGAATATCTTAACTTAGAATTGGAATGGAGGCTGAACTTGCCACTTAGACGGAACTTTTGACATTCTTCAAAATAACAACTTGAAAAATGATCTTGAATGAATGCGTGTTTTCTTGATCAAAAGTTGACTAGTAAAAGATGTGTGAAAGTCAGGCTGCTACATGTATTGGAGAAGCTAATTCTAACCATCGTGAAATTGATTATTCTAAAAAATTTGAAACTTTGTTCTTGAATTTCAAATCCAGGTCTCGCTTGAGAAAACCTATGAACCACCACAAACAAAAAAAATAAATAAAATTTTTGCCCCATTTTTCACTGGTAAAATTTTGTGAGTTATTAGCAAATATAAATATAAAACATAAACTTCGGCTAGGAAGTGTTTATTTCAGGAGAAAATGAAACTAAAAATCTAGACTAGGAAGTGTTAATCCTATGAGAAAGTAATCTATTCCCATTATTCAGGAGGGTCCTGCTAGTCCCATTATCCAGGAGGGTCCTGCTAGTCCCAGTATCCACGAGGGTTCTGCTAATCCCATTATCCAGGAGGGTCCTTCTAGTCCCATTATCCAGGAGGGTCTTGCTAATGTCATTATTTAGGAGGGTCCTACGAATTCCATTATCCAGGAGGAACCTTCTAGTCTCATTATCCATGAGGGTCCTTCTAGTCCCATTATTCAGGAGGGTCCTGCTAAACCCATTATCCAAAAGGGTCCTGTTAGTCCCATTATCAAGGAGGGTCCTGCTAGTCCCATTATCCAGGAAGGTCCTGCTAGTCCCATTATCCAGGAGGGTCCTGCTATTCCTGTTATCCAGGAGGGTCCTGCTAATCCCATTGTCTAGGAGGGTCCTGTTAATCCCATTGTCCAGGACGGTCCTACTAGTCTCATTATCCAGGAGGGTCCTGCTAATCCCATTATCCAGGAGGGTCCTACTAGTCCCATTATCCAGGAGGGTCCTGCTAATCCCATTATCCAGGAGGGTCCTGCTAATAAAATTTTCAACAAACTAATAATACCAACGAAACATTGTGAATGTTGTCTTCATTATTTGGAAGTTCCTTCAAGGAGAAAAATAATAACAATACTTATAATAATAATAAATAAAATAAATATTCCAACATTCAGGTAATTGCTAGTTTGATATATATTAGCCAACTTTCATATAATATTCTACAAGTCTTTATTGTAGGGTTTCCGTTTCGCTCTCTGTAGACTAGGTTGAACATCTAGGTTCCTCAAATCTTCAATTTTGAAACAACTTGTGTCCCTGCTTCAACAAAGATAATTCGTGAGTTTGAAAAGGTGGTGGTTGGTTTGTGGTTCCATCTTTCGACAAGGGTGGCTCAAACACTTGTGACGCTCTGGTTTTTTCCAACGGTCAATACTTCTTATTGATTGATTGTACTATCATCCAAACTTGTTTATTTTGGGACCTAAATCCTATGTCTTTATCTCACAAATCTCATTGTTTAGCCTTCATAGAATTAGAGAATTTTCGAATTCAACACTTGAACACAGATTGTAACTGATTAGCCTGATGCTTTGTCTAGTATAGTTTAGAGACCTGTAGCGATTTTTTGAATTCCTTCCTAGTTTTTTTTTTGACAAAGACTCGACCCAAATACATACCAAAAAAAAGTGTCGAAAAAGTATAAGAAAATTACAAAATATACGAGAATAAAAGAAAAGATTCGATGAAGAATCTTTTTTTAGTAAGAAAAAGAAAGAAAAACTTATCTGAGTGTGGGAGTCGAGTCTACTGATCATGCCATGCAATTTGAATTGATTTTCAGACTTTTCTATCCAATCTATTCATCAACCACTATTGATCATTCAATCTTGATATGAAGCGATAAATAATTTGGAACCCTTATACATTTTGTGATATTCACGAAGGTCTTTGCCGCTAAAACTCTATCATGTTAATTGCTCCAGCTCACGTCTTCCTTATGGTGCATGTCAGAATTTTCACCAATAAGTCTCTCTTATATTCAACTCCTTTTCTCCTTACGGTGCCCACTTAGGGTTTTCACCAATAAGACTCTCTCATTTTTATTTCTTTTTACTCACATTTGTCTTATGGTGCCCATTAAGGATTTTTACCTACCCTTAACCAACTTACTCTCGACAAATCAAGGGTTGATGCAAAGACTTTTTTTTTTACTTTAGATAATGGGGTTGATTTTGAGCTTTGAGATGAGAGACCAAATGAATAAACAAACGACTTTTGCCCCAGTATACTACAATACTACAATATGAATTTTTCGATTTGTATTTGGTTGAACCGAACCCAACATTAGGGCTGCCTACGTATCTTGTCGAAACAAGAATCAGGTCAAACGTAGTTCAGGAAATTTGTTTTTTTTTAAAGTCGAGGAAACACCATAACCAAGAGATCCCATTGAATCAACCTTTGAAATGTCGAGCCCAAACATAAGGGTTTCTAATGTTGAAACTCAATCATATGTAATATCTTTTCACAGCATCCTTCTATATCTGCTAAGTAAAGAGCACCATTGGGTAATACCCTTTTAACAACGAATGGTCCTCTCCAATTTGGAGAAAATTTGCGTTTGGGTTCAGCATGATGTGGCAAAATGTGTCTCAACACTAACTGACCCTCTTCAAAATGTCTGGGACGCACCTTCTTGTTGTATACCCGTGACATTCTTTTCAGATATAATTGTCCATGACATACTGATGTCAGACACTTCTCATCAATTAAACTTAATTGCTCTAACCGAGTTTTGATCCATTCATCATCATCAATTTTAGCCTCCACAACGATTCATAAAGATGGGATCTCATTCTCTGCAGGCATAATTGCCTCAGTCCCGTATACCAGTGAATATGGGGTTGCGCCCACTGACGTACGGACTGTAGTGCGATAACCCAACATAGCAAAAGGCAACTTTTGATGCCATTGTCGAGAACTTTGCACCATCTTACGAAGTATCTTTTTTATATTTTTGTTAGCAGCTTCTACAGCCACGTTTGCCTTTGGGCGATACGGAGTCGAATTTCGATGTTCAATCTTAAATTCGTAGCATACCTCTTGCATTAAGTGGCTGTTGAGATTTGCAGCGTTATCAATTATAATCACCTTTGGAATACCAAACGGACAGATGATGTTGAAATGGATGAAATCCACCACGACCTTCTTCGTCACTGACTTGAAAGTTACTGCTTCCACCCACTTTGTAAAATAATCAATAGTCACCAAGATGAACCAGTGACCATTCGATGCTTTTGGTTCTATCGATCCAATCATATCCATTCCCCATGTAAAAAGGCCATGAAGCAGACATTACATGCAACTCAGATGGGGGAGAATGTATTAAATCACCATGTAATTGACATTCATGACATTTTCAAATAAATCGAATGGAAGCCCGCTTCATGGTGTGCAAATAATATCTTGCTCGAAGTATCTTCTTGGCTAGAACATATCTATTTATATGAGGTCCACAAACTCCTGAGTGTACTTCAATCATGATTGTGGAAGCCTCTTTATCATTTACACACCTTAGAAGACCTAAATCGGGTGTCTTCTTGTACAGTATGCCTCCGCTTAAGAAAAAACCCATTTCTAGTCGTCGAATAGTCCTTTTTTGGTTACTAGTTACATCTAATGGACATTCGCCTGACTGAAGATATGTTTTGATATCATGAAACCAAAGCTTACCATCCAATTGCTCCTCAATCATGTTGCAATAAGCATGTTGATCACGAATTTGTATGTATAAAGGGTCGATATGAGCGCCATCAGGGTGTTGGAGCATTGAAGATAAAGTGGCCAATGCATCTGCAATCTCATTGTGCACTCTGGGAATGTGTCTAAACTTTATCGACATGAATTGTTGACAAAGACCTTGTAAACAATATTGATATGGTATGAGCTTTGGCTCTCGAGTTTCCCATTATCCTTGAATTTGATGAACTAGTAAGTCTGAGTCTCCTAACACTAACAATTCTTGGATACCCATGTCAACAGCTAACGTTAGACCCAAAATGCACGCTTCATACTCAGACATATTATTAGTACAATAGAATCTAAGTTGGGCTAATATAGGGTAATATTCCCCTGATTCAGACATAAGAACGGCTCCTATTCCAACTCCTTTCCTGTTAGAGGCACCATCAAAGAATAACTTCCAACCTTGATCGTTATGGTGAATAACTTCATCGATACAAGATATCTCTTCATCTGGAAAATAAGTTTTAAGTGGTTCATATTCTTCATAAATAGGGTTCTCTGCCAAATGATCTGCCAATGCTTGAGCTTTCATTGCGGTCCGCGTTATATAGATAATGTCAAACTCTGTGAGCAATATTTGCCATTACGCAAGCCTGCCTATGGGCATGGGATTTTGAAAAATATATTTCAACGGATCCATACGAGAGATGAGATAAGTAGTGTAAGATGAAAGATAATGTTTCAACTTCTGTGCTACCCAAGTTAGGGCACAACACGTTCTTTCAAGAAGGGTGTACTTCGCTTCGTAAACGGTAAATTTCTTGCCGAGGTAATAAATGGCCTGCTCTTTCTTCCCAGTGTCAGCATGTTGACCCAGTACACAACCAAAAGAATTATTCAGTACTGACATATACAATATCAAAGGTGTTCCCAGCTCGGGAGAAACTAACCCAAGGGGATTGGATAGGTAGTTCTTAATTCTTTCAAAAGCTACTCGACATTCTTCGGTCCACTCAACTGTAGCATTCTTTTTCAACAACTTAAAGATAGGGTCACAAGTTGTTGTGAGTTGAGCAATGAATCTGCTAATATAGTTTAACCTTCCTAGAAGGCTCATAACCTCAGTTTTGTTCTTTGGAGGTGGAGATTCTTGAATTGCTTTTATTTTTGAAGGATCCAACTCGATACCTCTTCGACTGACTATAAACCCCAAAAGATTCCCCGATGGTACTCCAAATACACATTTTACAGGATTAATCTTGATATTATACATGCGGATCCTTTCGAAGAATCTCCTTAAGTCTTTCACATGATTTGACTGTTTTTTAGATTTAATGATAACATCGTCCACACAAACTTCAATTTCTGTATGCATCATATCGTGAAACATGGTTGTCATTGCTCTCATATAAGTTGCCCCTGCATTTTTTAATCCAAAAGCATAACACGATAATAATATGCACCCCATGGAGTGATAAAAGATGTTTTTTCTGCATCTTCATCATCCATAATAATCTGATGGTAGCCCGCATAACAATCCACAAAAGATGCAACCTCATGTTTAGCACAATTATCCAATAAAATATGGATGTTAGGCAAATGAAAATCATCTTTTGGACTTTCCTTATTCAAATCACGATAATCAACACACATTCAAACTTTGCCGTCTTTCATAGGGACGGGTACGATATTTGCTAACAAAGAAGGATATTGAGAGACTTGGATGACTTTGGCTTCAAGTTGTTTTGTGATCTCCTCTTTAATTATTACACTCATGTCGGTTTTGGCAACTTGTGAACAACCATGCCAGTGCTTAATCAAGGCATGTCATCATAAGATGACGCAAAAACATCTTTGTAATCAAACAGGGCTTGGATTATATCGTCTTTTTGATGTCGAACATGTACACTTATCTTAGTCTCCTTAATAATTTCCTGATTCCCCAAATTTATCGTCTCAGTTTCACTCATGTTTGGATTTGACTTATTTTCAAAATGATTGAAATCCCTCCTTACTTCCTCAAATACTCTGTCTTCATCATATTCGATTTTTTGACTTATTATTTCAATATTAGGTAGAATATTAGATTGGATATTAAGATCTGGCAAAAAATTCTGCATACATGTCATATCACTAGAATCGGCATAGAAAGAACTGCATAAAAGAAAACAAACAAATATATTAGACTGAAATAAAGATGCAATTACATCCCATTGAAAAGGGAAATAGAATGTTTGAAATAAAATGACAAGATAAAATCCGAATTACAATCCTTGAATGAATCGGACGACAAAAGAAAAAACAAGACAGACTACCAAGACTCGTCTTCAATGGAGAGAGGGGTGGCCTCCTAATTATTTAGCTTGACATCAGGACCAATGAATTGCAAATCTCTGTCGCTATTGCCTTCTCCGAGTTCCACCATATCAACCTCGACAAAAAAATCTTGAAAATAGTTGATCATTTCTTCGCTTACTTTCATCACTAGCTCTGGAAAAGATGATTGATAAGATTCTTTTGCGCGGGCTTTGATGAAAGATTTTTATATTGGTTGTATAGGCTTGGTAAGTGACAATACATCTCTTTTATTCGTATTTGCCTTCACTTTGTCCTCGATTCTAGGTTGGTAGCCTAATCCAAAAGTACCGATGCTCTTTCATTGACTCAATGGATAAGCTCTCCCTTACAAGCAAATTCCTAAGCCTTTACCCGGCTCAAACCCATGTTTCAGCAATTCATTCACCACCATTATAGACGCGATAGACATCTTTGGTTTTGAAATGACACTCCCCTCGGGACATGCTCAATAACCACTACCTCGAAAGCTTGATAAATCAGTGTCTCATTCTCATTATTCGCCATGATAAAAGGGGAGGAAGATTCTTTGTAGATTAACAAATCCCCTTCACCATGAAAAATCACTTCTTGTCGGTCGTATTAAAACTTAATCATTTGATGCAACATTGAGGGGACTGCTCCAGCCTTATACACCCATGGCCTCCCCAACAATAGATTGTAGGATGCGTTCATATAAAACACTTGAAAATTCACAGCAAAATCCACAGGCCCAATGGTTAGTGCGAGCTCTATCTCACCAATGACATCTATTTTTGACCCATCAAAAGCTCTAACACATACATTGTTGGGTTGGACCCTTTCAACACTAACATTCAATTTCTGTAGAGTTAATAAAGGACAAATATTTTCTCCAGATCCTCCATAAATTAGAACTCGAGTTACATATGAAAGCTCATACTTTATAGTGATATGTAGGCCCTGGTTATGTCTTGTACCTTCTTTGGGTAGTTCATCATCTGAAAAGGTGATGCGGTTTACCTCAAATATTCTCCCAGCAATCTTCTCAGACTGACTCACTGTAACTTTACTAGGAACATGTGCTTCATTCAAAATTTTCAATACAGCCTTACGATGTTCATCAGAATGTATTAGCAAAGACAACAAAGAGATTTGGGCTGGAGTTTTGTTTAATTGTTCCACCACGGAGTAGTCTAATAGTTTCATCTTTCTTAGGAATTCCTCTGCCTCTCCTTCAGTGACCGGACTCTTTATTTGTATTTGGTCATTTTTATTTTTCCTTAATTCCATCGGGACATAACATCTTTCTCAACGGCTTATTCCTCCCACTTCATCTATTTCTTCATCAATTCTGTTTCCCTTGTATGTCACGACAGTAGGCTCATAATTCCAGGGAACAGCTTTGTGGTTAGTCATTGTGAGCTGGGATACTGGCCTGATAATCACAGGAGGAATATGGGCCCCTTGTACGATCAAGATAGGCTTGTTTGGACTTTTTGGAACAAACGACTTTGCCTTACTCGGACTTTCCCAAACATCTTCAAGGGCTCCTTTCACAGTTAAGATGGGTGTGTTGGATGGACTCAACTTTTCTAACACACTTTCCATCCCTAAAGGCATCATTTTTGTTAAATCAAAAACATTTGCTGACTTCTCAATGCCAGTTCCAACCCTAAGGATTGGCTTAAACAGAGATGCAAACTCTTCATGACCCTTCATCATTTCTAGCATGTTTGTTTCAGTATGCCTCGGCAATGGATTTGGATTGATGTTGGGTCCACTCGGACTTTCAACTATAATTCGATTAGAATCGATCAAATCTTGAATGGCCCATTTCAAATACCAACATCTCTCTATGTTGTGTCCTGGGGCATTAGAACAATATGCGCAATGTTGAGAATAATCCAAATTTCTCGGGAGAGGATTCGACATCTTTCTCTCAATAGGACTCAAAACATTCAACATCCTTAATTTTTGGAACAATCTAGCATACGACTCCCGTGTAGGAGTGAACTCATCTTTAACGCCAAAACCCTTTTTGTATTGTGGTCTAGGACAGAAAGGAATTCTAGCAGTATTTTGATGAACTTGCAGGGGTGGTGGATGATTTTATGGAGTTGGTGCACGCCATTGCGGATAAGAAGGGGGTGAAATTGGTTGTGCATTAAAAACATGATATGGAGTGTATGGGACAGAATATTGTGGAGCTTGGGAAGGAAAATAGTGTTGTGGGGAATTACCTTGGACATGAGTCCTAGGTGCTGATACAATAGCGGCCACATCCTCCCTTCTCTTCTTCCCTCCAATATTTCCAGAACCATTTTGAAGCACTTGTGTTGTGGCTTTTAAGGCAACTTGACTTACAATCTTTCCAGACTTGATGCCATTTCCCACCATTTCCCCTACGTTAATAACTTCAGCGAATGTCTTCCCTACGGCAAAACGCAGATAGTGAAAGTAATCAGGTTCTTGCGCCTGGAGAAAAACATCAATCATCTCTGACTCCTTCATTGGTAGTTTAACCCTAGCAGTTTGTTCCCACCATCTGATAGCATATTCACGAAAATTTTCCGTGGTCTTTTTCCTCATGTTGGCTAACAAGGAGCGATCTGGAACAATGTCAATATTATATTGGAATTTCTGTATAAAACATCGAGCCAAATCATCCCATGTGTGACAGTTGGTGATATCCTGATCTATGAACCATTCATATGCAATCCCTACTAAGCTTTCCCCAAAATAGGCCATAAGTAACTCTTCTTTGCCCTCTGCACCCCTCAATTGGTTGCAATATCTCTTTAGATGAGCTATGGGGTCTCCGTGACCATCATATTTTTCAAACTTTGAAGTTTTAAAACCAGCAGGTAAATGGACGTGAGGAAACATACACAAGTCACTGAATGAGATGCCTTTGTGGCCTCCTAGTCCTTGCATATCTCTTATACTCCATTCAAAACTCTTCATTTTCTTAGTGATTTCTTCATATTTTTCATTCTTGTCCATCCTCTAAATTTTGACAGGGGAACTATATTGATTAATGTGGGGATGAGAGCTTGGAATTTTAATGGCCTCTTCAAGAGTGTAACTCTGATCACGTCGAACTTTGGGCGGAGGATCGCTGTTGGATTTGGGCACCATCGTTGGCTGCGGGATGCTGTTAGTCGGGGCAGTTGACCCAAAGAGTAGATTACTTATCACAGGCGTATTCGAAGGGCGCACTATAGAAGTTCCAGCAACATTGAATGTGTTAGCATAGGGGCTTAATCCAGGGGGATA